TCAAAAGAAGAAAAACCAGTTATTTAGGGCATTTGTTGCGCAACGAGAAATACTACATCCCTCAGTTGATAATAAAAGGCAAAATAAAAGGAAAGCGAGGAATTGGAAGAAAAAAATTGTCCTGGTTACGCAATATCAGAAACTGGACAGGACTTGGATTTGAGGAACTCTTAAGAGCAGCTGAAGATAGACAAACGTTTGCCACCATAACCGCTAACCTCCATTGATGGAGACGGCACTTGAAGAAGAAGAAGAAGAGACAACTGGGTTGTAGCTTTCCACTTTTATGATGGTAATTTAAACTACTTTTTTAGGTGAAATATATCTTAATATATTTTAAGTATATTACCGCAGTATTCATTGTTGATTTTAAACGAATCACTTTTTTAAAAGTAGAAATAATCACAAATATTCACAATTATGACATCTTCATAGAGGAGTGCCAAGAAGCAACAAATAAACAAAAATAGAGCATACCTAAAGATAAATCAAGGTAGATGCACAAGAAGGAGTAATAGCGGACCCTAAGAAGGGAAGAAAAAAGATACATAGAAGAAGAAAAAAGCAATTTGAAGAAACGCAGTTAGAAAACATAGAATGGCTAAGAAATCAAAACGAAACTCGAAAGTTTTATTGAAATGTAAACAAAATGAGTTTAAGTCAAGAATAGGGAGCTGTAAGGATGGAGAAGAAAATATCCTAAGTGATGCGGCCTAAATATTGAACCGATGGGTTTGAATTTTTCGACGCAAAATTTAACGGCCATTATATCTAAGAAGCAGGTAACACCATAGCAGATCGAAATTATTAGAATCTATTCAATCCAAAAGAAAGACTACTTACCACTGAAGAGGTTACCCAAGCCATTAAAAAGCTTAAAAACAATAAAGCACCAGAAACTGATCAAATTTGTTGTGAGCTCTGCAAAAATGGTGACGATGCCCTGCTACAAGCACTGACTAAACTTTTACTTCTTGTCTGCCAAAATTAGACTAGTAATGATCTCAAGGTGTGATATACCTGTTACATAAAAAAGGCGATCAGCTCCAGAGTACTACAGAGTTATAACCCTGTTAAAAACTGCGTAGAAAATACTAGCAAATATTCCTACGAAAGGCTACAATACTGCAGAAAGGAACAGTACTATACCAATAAATGCGTGAGTTTTGAGTAAAATTTTGTTTTGCTGCTATTTTCATTCTTATTATTGTTAGAACTAGTTTGTGTTCACTCCCTGCGCCTGCGTCTGCTGAATTTGCTTTGGGTGGATTTTTCTATTAGTTACTATAAAATCAATCATAGATTTATGCTCCCTGGAGACTATTATAGAAATATACTTATGAATATTTATACTGCAGCGTATGGTCAAAAAATATATTATTGATTCTCAGTTCGTTAAAAACACAGAGATTAACCATGAATTCTCCATTTACGTTGACATGGTTTGCATTAAATCTTTGTTTTACTCCTGGAACTATTTTATTTTCGATTCGTACATTAAAGTCACCTATATGGATTAAGGGCTAGTCATGAGGTATTTCATCCAGGATGGTTTGCAATTGTTCGTAGAATGCCTCTCGTTGCACCTTAGGTTTGCAGTTCTCGAGGCTATAACATTTAATTTTTGCTAGTCCATTGTGATGTTCATATGTATTATTCTTTAGGAGATATAACGGCTGTTATTTATGTTGTCTTTAAATTTTTTATGGAGAAGTAAGTATACCTATGCCTGCTCGTGCTCGTTCTTCTTTCTTCATTCCACTGTATGCTAGAAAATATTGGTTATATTCTCTTTGACCTTTACCTTTTTTCTTGGTTTCTTGGATTGCGCAAATGTTTATGTTTTTATTTATCAGTTCTTCTATTATTTCTTGGTCTTTGTTGTTGAAAGAAGAAATGTTCCATGTTGCTTATCTGATTGTGGGCTTATATTTCCTTCTCGTTTTCCTTTTCTTTGCGTGGTTCGTCATGGTTCCGAGGTTTTATATCGGTTCTTTGAGCCTTGTTTTCTTTTACAATGGGTAGAATGCTAACCTGGTCAATCAAACCTTTTATTCGGGCTTGGGACCGACTGCGAGTATGAACGCAACTTGATGACGAATTAGAAGTTTTTATAAAAAATATCCAACAGGCAGCTTGGGAAAATACTCCCACAATAACTTCTAGAACAAAAGAGAACAACTATTCAAAAGAAATCAGAGAACTTATACTAGAAAAAAGCAAGTTAGGAAAAAAATGGCAGCAATACAGAGCTCCACGAGACAAAACTAGTCTAAATAATGCTACACAAAAACTAAAAAGGGAGATACAGAATATAAAAAATTCAACAATTAATTATTTTTTAAGTAATTTAACAGCTGACCAGAACACAGATTATTCTTTATGGAAGGCAACAAAAAGATTAAAGAGACCAATTATTCATTCCCCTCCTATCAAGTTGGAAAACGCCAACTGGGCTAGAAGTAACGAACAAAAAGCAGAACGATTTGCAGATCATTTAGAAAGCACGTTCAAACCCAACGACAATGATAGTGAAGAACTGAGATGGGAAGAACCATTCCAAACTGACGAAAGAATAACATTGACATCACTTAGAGAAGTATCAACAGAGATAAAAGAGATTATAAATCCTAAGAACGCTCCAGGATATGATCTCATAATAGGAGAATTATTAAAAAATCTACCAAGAAAAGCCATAGTTAAGCTGACACACCTAATAAATGCTGCTTTTAGAGTGAGATATGTTCCCAGACTCTGGAAAGTAGCCGAAGTAATTATGATCGCCAAACCAGGTAAATCTCCTAATGAAGTAACATCCTATCGACCAATATCCCTCCTTCCGGTGATGTCAAAACTATTTGGAAAACTTCTATTAAAAAGATTAAAACCAATAATAGAAAGAAAAAATCTTATACCAAATCATCAATTTGGTTTCAGAAATCAACATCCCACTATAGATCATATTCACAGCATAACGAATATAATAGAAAAAAACATTAGAAGAAAATAAAGTCTGCTCTACAATCTTCTTGGATGTAGCACAGGCGTTTGATAAAGTCTGGCATGACGGTTTAAACTATAAACTAAGAACGTTCATGCCTAAAAAGTATTCAGAAATCTTGAAATCATACATTGCGAATAGATATTTCAGAGTAAAACAAGAAGAAGTGTACACCGACTTAAGGGAGATCAAAGCTGGCGTGCCATAAGGAAGTGTCTTAGGTCCGGTCCTGTACCTATTGTATACATGTGACATTCCAGAGCTAGAACAAAAATACTATTGCCACCTTCGCGGATGATACAGCCATACTAGCGATATGAGATACTAGTGAAGAAGCGACTAATAAATTGCAACTTTGAGTAAATAAAATACATAACTGGACCAGAAAATGGCGAATAAAATTAAATGAGACTAAATCTGCACACATTAACTTTACAAATAAAAAAATAGAAAATTTCCCAGTTAGAATAAATGATACCCGAATTCCTTATGCAACATCAGCAAAATACTTGGGCATCACCCTAGACGCGAAGCTGTGCTGGAAAGTCCATGTCAAAAAGAAAAGAGGGGAGCTTGATATTAGATATAAGAAATTGTATTGGCTGATCGGAAAAAATTCAACATTGTCAATTCATAATAAATTATCCATCTACAAGCAAGTACTGAGGCCAGTATGGGTATATGGGTGCCAACTCTGGGGCTGTACCAAAGCTAGTAATCTACTTATTATCCAGAGATTTCAAAATAAAGTACTGAGAAATATTGTTGATGCTCCTTGGTATATCCGTAACAGCAACCTCCACCAGGACCTGGATATGGAAACTGTGATCGAAATAATCAAGAGAACAGCAGCAAGTCACGAGCAGAGGCTGCATAGTCATATGAATGTCGAGGCAATCCAGCTTCTTGACAACACTGAACTAAAGAGAAGACTCATAAGGACAAAACCATTTGAGCTAGTGTAAATGTGTAACAGTTTAGTGTAAAAAGCAGAGTATAGTGCTATGAAGTTATTGCATGCTAGTTGTAGTACATTAGTTAATAGATAAAATAAGAGTAAGCCATATGGTAAGCCCTTAGATTTAAGTATTTGCTGTTATTATGTTAGGTCAGAAAATAACTGATAATTGGTCATTTGTGACCAGATAGCAGTATACAAACACCGCGCAGGTGTTAAAAAAAAAAATATTCAGAAAAATACTAAAAAACTTTTCGTTAATAAAATTTGCTTACACAGATACGCACCTGCTATTAATTATTTACAAATTGCGTGAAGTTTATAAGGTTTTTTTAAATGCACGCGGAGGTCACAAAGATAAGAATAAAAAATTTCGTTATGAAACTGGTTTGACCTACTCAATAAAAGCCTTGAAATTACTTACTAATACAATTACAGCAGCTCATTATTAAATTTAATTGCAATTAAGGAATGAAAATGCACTTCTAAGTACTTTATAATAATATCTTGTAAAAGTATTTATACTATCACTTACAAAAGAAATCGATAGCATTGTCGATAGGCTAGAATCAAATACACCGAATTAGAAACATTTTTCCTACGGGAGCGACCTCATAACCTGGACTGTAACATAAAAGATATATATCGACTCTTTATTTTATAATTTTGTAATAAATAATATTGTAATATTGTTTGGATTCAGATGGCGCAAAATCGGACTAAGTGGAAAAGCATGCGAGAGGCCTATGTTCAGCAGTGGACGTTAGAGGCTAGTTGATGATTATGAATATTGTTTTTATTAAATTTTGTAGATTACAGTTGGAACTAAGCGCGTTAATAATTCTTTTTTTATGATTTAATAGAATTTCAAGAATTGAACGTCTATAGAGAGCATTATATTGGAGCAATGGTGCAACCAGTAAACTTCTGAATGACTTAAAGTTACAAAAATGTTACAAACTATGTTACATTTCTATTCGCTTTATATATCAAGGAAGATACTTTCAAAGAATCTAATTAATACAAGGTAAGATATCTTACCTTAATCCCTTCTTTAACCAAGAGTTCACATGTTGCTGCTCCTATTCCTGCACTGGCACCAGTAACTACGGCTACTTTTCCAACCCACCGATCAAGCGACAGCACCATTTTCAATCGAAGGACTAAAACAACTTACCATTTAATTGCCACCGCGGTGTTTATTGCCGTTGATTTTTTATTAATGTGGTAGGGATCCGCCTGGCATTGTTAATCGAGTTTTATCGTTTTTTATCATTATAAATAACAACAAACGCTTGTCTGTCTTTTTATAAACAAAACAGGACTGTAAAAAATGTTTTGTAAGATAATGGCAAAAGAAATAAGTTTTTTTTTATAAAACGTTTTATAAAATTAACTACACAACATAATACGTCAAATAACTGTCAAAGTTCGAATAAGTAGGTACAATACTTGAAAGTACAATATACTTGAAAATCCTCTACGAAAAATTGATTTAATTTTGTAAAAGAGTTATATTAAACATCTACGCTCTTTTTCTTCTTGGATTTTTTTCATTATAAGTTTACCATTTTTGCCCTTCACAGCACTCTATTTTCCCAGTCATCTTCTCTGAGGTCTCTATCTATCATAGCATTTGAACGGGAGGGCTTGTCTGACACCGTCCAAGCGAGCCGAATAAATATTTCGACTTTGTACAAGTAATAATTATGCATAATTACTTCGGATTATTCCTTTGACTTTGGTATATTTCCATTAAGTGGTGGTTCTTTTGTTATGCGTATTTAAATAAATTACTCTTACTCTGTAGAAATGTATTTCAATTGTAACCAGTATACTTTTAAATTGTTCAATAGATAATGCAGTTACCATTTATTTGCTCTCTGCTTTATATAAGAAATATTATCACTTACAATTATTAATCTGTGATCGTATGATAAGGATAAGGATAAGGAGAAAAGAAGAATGGATGAATAACGAGATACTCAATATGATGGAACAACTGAGACAATTTAAAAAAAAGACAACAATAAATACAGAGAGATAAACCACGAGATCAGGAAGATGATAAAGCAGGCAAAATAAAAATACTTTGAAGAGAAATGCAAAGAGTTTGAAGAGCTTTAAAATAAATGATCTGTTTAACCTACACAAGAACGTTAAAGAACTGGCAGGACTAAGAAAACAAAATCCCACTCGTGCAATTCTGGATAGGTACGGGACTACTGTAACAGATACGGACGAGACAGTACAAAGATGGGCAGAATATATCGACGAATTATTCGATGATGAAAGAGGAGATATGGAGCACATAGAACTTACGTCAGAAGAAATAGGTTCATATATTACAAAAGAAGAAATATTACACGCATTAAAAACAATGAAGAGTGAGAAAAGCCCTGGACCTAACATGCTTCCAATAGAAATCCTAAAAATTCTGGATGAGAAGCACATTGATGTTTTAGTGATACTCTTGAACCAAATATATAGTTCAGGCGTATTACCCAAAGAGTGGTTAACATCAATTTTTATTTGTCTCCCTAAAAAGAAAAACGCAGAGAATTAGCTTGATGTCTCATATGCTAAAGTTACTACTTAAAGTCATCCATAACCGAATATATAACAAACTGGACATAGATGTTATTGATACACAATTTGGTTTTCGCAAAGGCCTAGGAACGCGTGAAGCTCTTTTTTCACTTAATATACTGATACAAAGATGCCTGGACGTCAATGAAGATTACGCATGTTTTATTGACTATAATAAAGCACTCGATAAAGTACGACATCAACAATTAATTAATGTCCTGAAATCAAGAAGATTGACTACAACGACCTCAGGATCATATCAAATTTATATTTATACTATAAACAGCGAGCAAAAGTACGCGTTACCGAACAGCTGTCAGAAAAAATTGAAATTACATGTGGAGTGAGACAGGGATGCGTATTGTCGCCAATTCTTTTTAATGCCTACGCCTGACGACACTGTGATCTTAGCCGAAAACATTGAAGACCTTCAGAGAGTGGTGACCAGAATGGCAGAATATGGAAAAAAGTATGGTCTAACAATGAATGTCAAGAAGACAAAATTTATGAGATTATCGAAAACTCAAAAAATTAACGAGAATCTTCTAAGAAACGGAACCAACGTCGAATAGGTAGACAAATGTGCATATCTGGGAACAATGATTAATTCCACAAATGATTACATTCAGGAGATCAAAATAAGAATAGAAAAGGTTAGAGCAAATTTTAACAAAATGAAAAGAGTGCTATGTACCAGGGATTTAAAACTGTAACTAAGAGTTAGGTTGGCGAGGTGCTATGTTTTTTTACTTTATTTTATGGAATGGAATCTTGGACTTTGAATGCGATATCAATAAAAACTGGAATCATTCGAGCTGTGGGTGTATAGAAGAATTCTGAAATTATCGTGGACAGAACACGTCACAAACAAAGAGGTTCTGAGACGGATGAGTAAAGAAATGGAAATTTTAAATACAATTAAAACAAGAAAATTAGAATATCTCGGCGGATAATGAGAATCAGCCTCGTGGAGATACATGCAGCAAAAGATCCAAGGAAATAGAAGCATAGGGAGGCGTAGAATGTCATGACTGCGCAACCTGAGAGAGTGGTACGGATGTACATCAAATGAACTTTTCAGAGCAGCCGTCTCAAAAGTCCGAATAGCTATGATGATTGGCGACCTCCGCCGTGGAGATCGCACTTGAAGAAGATCGTATGATTCGCCGTGCGGCAGTTGAAACTTAAGAGCGGTATGTCTTCTCGGGTCGATAGTTGAAACGTTAAAGAGATTGGGCATATATGAGGTTTGTGTGACAATGATCTACAGACCGAGAGTTTGGTATAAATTCCACGGCTTCGCGCAATCGTACTTGTAAGTTCGTATAGTCGGCTGGAGTTACAATTTGCCAAATTTAAATGTAATCGTTTCTACTCATTCATATTAATATTATAATGTATAATATATTAAAGTTTTTAATATTGGTAATATTATTAAAGCTTTTAATATTATTTTTTAATATTAATAATAATATTAAGTAATTAAATATTTCGCCTTGCTTAAAAAAAGTACGAGATAAATAACTCGTTTTTTTATATGAAAGTGCAATTTTCTTGCAAATGCCTTGAGAGGGGAAATTTCCAATATAACACAACCAAAAGACAAAAATATTAACTTAGATACATGCAATCATTATCACTGCTTAGCATATTTTCATGGAAATCAACCGCTGTGCTGAATAGTATTTTTTTTAAATTGTGATGAATAAATAAAGTATATATTAAATAAAGGGTCTTTTAAATAAATTTGTAATATTTTATCCGAAAAGATGAAAAGACTCAGTTCCGAGTCGTGAGCGTATTCCTTATATTTTCTTTAATTGTGTTTAGCTACTCGGATGTGAGTCGTTGTTATAATTATTTAAAAAGATTAATTTACAATATTTTTTATTAAATCAAATGAGAAATATTATAGCAAATTAAGAACTAAGGGAAAAAACAAATTTTCATTTCCTAGCAAATTGTTTCAGAACACTTAAGATTAAAACTTCCAAATAAAATTTGGATAATATTGTAAAGGCTTTTATACACTGAAATTAAATTAAAAAATAACATGAAAAAAGTGGAAAAATAATAAAAAATTCCCAAATTTAAATATATCTCGAAAACAAAATACGATATGGAAAAAGAATACCGGAAATGTTTAATTTTTTTGAGCTCTTCGATTTTGTAGTACCTTCAATTTCAGTTTTTTTCAACAATACTCAAGTATTCCGATTTAGTACTCTCAGCCTTATAAAAATTTACAAAAAATTAACATCGGATGAAGTTTCAACAAGCGAAATGAAAATCCTAATATTAAAACAGCATTATGACCGTGACCAGGTATAATATCTGACTGTTATGCAAATTAGTAGGTAATTAGAAAGTCATTATGGGCAAAACCAGCTTATTCAAATTATAGGTACCTACCTTTAATCTTGTATTGAAGGATTTTAATTTATTACCCTTAGCATACGTAAAGATATAAAAAACGAGTTATTCATCTCATACTTTTTTGAAGCAAGGCGCAATATTTAATTACTTAATATTATTATTAATATTAAAAAGCTTTAATAATATTACCAATATTAAAAACTTTAATATATTATACATTATAATATTATTATGAATGAGTAGAAACGATTACATTTCAATTTGGCAAATTGTTACTCCAGTCGACTTAGTTCACGAACTTACAAGTACGATTGCGCGAAGCCGTGGAATTTGCACCAAACTCTCGGTCTGTAGATCCTTGTGTTTGTGTGGGGAAGCAGTGGTTCTGATATCCAATAATTTTTGTTGGGATTATTATGTCTTTAGTAAAATGAGAACAGAACTCTCTTCTGTATAGCTTTAAGTGTAGGATCAGGAAATTGTTGGATGTTTCTGGATCATAATATGAATATTTCTGTTGTTTTTCCCATTCACTTATTTTATCTGATGATAATCTGTGGATAGAATTTTTAGAGATATTAACTGATTGATTTTCATTTTCCTGTACTATATATGTGTTGTAAGTATTTAAAGGAAAACATTCAAGTTTATTTACGTTACAATTTCTGCCTGCCCTGATTTTTAAAGAACTTTTCTTTTCCTCAACCATATATAATACACTTTCTGAATGATGCCTTTTTGGTGTTTGAACTCTCGCACTATGAGCAGTTAATTGTCTAGTGTTGAACTGTTAAAGTTATGACGAGAACTACTATGGGATCTGACAGAAACATTACTTATATAACCGTGCCATTTGAGTATTTCACTAGAAGAAACACTTTCGGAGCATGTAGTAACTACACTGTCTCTTTCTTCACTTCTACTATTTGGGTCTTCAGGATTTAGTTTATCCCAAGTGTTGGAAGAGATATAACTTCCAACTGCCTCTTTGCTATCTCTTCTCAAGCGATCCAAAAAAGGTTTAGAAGTGAGGAGAACGGATACCATTAGTATATTGTGAAAGATGCATACATTATTTGGGCATTTTTACTCCAATTATGGGTTTTATTTAATATTTAACGACAACAAACTGTAATTTTTTGCTTCTTCGCTGATATCACCTTCTGCTAGGATAGCAGTATCATCTGCAAATGTGGCTATAGTATAATTTTTTAGTTCAGGTATATCGTATGTGTATAA